AATTCAGAAGTTGAAGGATGAGTTTCATTTCACATTGTTATTCACTTGATCTCATTGGCTACTTATACCATTAGAATTGATCACAATTCACTACCATTCCCCAGACTAGCTCCTTCAATGATTTATTCAGTCTTTTCTTCACTTCTTTGTGCTTGTCTATATTGAACCCTCCCCTAACCCCCACCCCCACACCCACAATATTCACATAATAGTGCTCATGATTTGGTCAGTAAAGCAAATAGGAATCGAGCACCAGTTAACTCATACGATTCAAGCACATTGATTTTATTGATGTTCTTAGCACAACCTTTGTAATCCTTCTTGCTCATGATGGATTGGCACAGTGAATATTGTTGGTAATGACTTTGATTAGGTTTACTCTCATGTTGCTACCAGATTCGCAGATACATCTGTATTTCTTCGGGAATTGACGCTTAAATTCATGCTTGTTCTGGCTCCTAAGGTGCATGCACTTTATTCTTTTGCTTGAAGGACCTTTTCTTCATGGTGTTTGGAACACACAATTTTAGATGAAGAAAGTACCTGTCAAAATTTATGAGAATTATGTGTTGTAGCAGGTAAACTAAGAATATGATAGTGGTTACTTCTTGTTAGCATATTACTTCCTTTTTGTGATCAAAAATTAATATGTTTTATTGATGATAGGAAAGACCAAGGACATCCTCGAAGTAAAAAGCTATCACTTTAGCTTTTGTTCGATAATTAAGTGATTATGTTTCCTTATTAATTCATTCGATCGATTAGAAGTCTTGTTTAATCATGTTTAATAAAATTTATTAAACATGAGCCCACTTGTGGGTTGACTTTCGAGCAGATTGTATGCTAAATTTAATCACAAAAGTTCCAAAGAACTGATGTAGTTCTTAGATTTCATCGCAAATATGCATATTTATGAACTCTTTACTTAGCATGCTCCTTTGTATACACCAGCACCATCCATTACTTGAACATGGGATAAACAGTTGAGAGTTGTAGTTAAATTTTTAACTGTCTATGTCGATTCATGCAGGGATGAACCCTTGACTGTTCAGTTCCCATGAACACAAACTCGGAGCTTTTGTTATGTCTCTGACATGGTATGAAGAGCATTGTGTATTTGGCCTTTCAAATTGAATCTCAAGTGTGTTAGAACTACAGAATTCTATGTTGCCTTACTCTTCTTTACAAATGTTGAAGGTTGATGGTCTGATCCGACTTATGGAAGGTGATAATACTAGGTCAATCAACATTGGGAACCCAGGTTATTTTGATTGACTTGATGCACAATAATATTTGTGCTTAAATACAATCTTTCAGTCTTTTTCCTTTTCTTTCTTAGCAGAAATTATGATCTTGTAGCTATTACTAATTAAAATTTTTTTTAACTATCAAGTGAATTTACAATGCTTGAACTGTGGAGAACATACCAGATGATCTCCGCCACAAAAAACCAGACATCGCAAAGGCGAAAGAGTTGCTAGGTTGGGAACCAAAGATCAAGTCTTGATGATCTGATGAAGCTCTTAAGGAGATGTTTGGATCTGGATTTTATATGCTTCCATAGCTTTACTTTTTTCATTAATGTTCTTTTATCTTATACATGGTGATGTTGAATAAATGATACAAGTATGTTTTCATTATATCAGAATATAGTTACATGAAAAATATAGGGATATGTAACTAAATTATCCCTGATCCAACAATGAATCAATAAATAGAGAGAGAAGAAAGTGGAAATGAAAACTAAATTAGTTACAGATTATACATGAAGAGGGTGAAAAATGCATGATTTCAAGCCAAAAATCCATAACTTTGAGTGTTTATTTGTGTGGTTAAGCGTTGTTAATGTTCTTATTGCATTGTTTCACTTGCAAATTCAACAGTGTAAATCACTTGGCCACAAATCAGTGTATTTATTTGATTTATATGTGGACGATAATTACACAAACGTGTTGAGTTCAAAATTTTGCAGTAGATTTCAGAGTTTGATTTATACCAGTGATCTATTGGTAGGGTGAAATCATACAATAAATCTTCATTGTAACGAACATCATATTTGTTCATTATCACCTTGTACAATCTACAATCATAAAAAAAAAAAAATAGCAAACAGTGCAATCCATGCGATGCACAAATTAAGGCAGCCACATGGCAGCCTTTATATTTTTTTCCTGAGAAGCCAACCAAATATAACTTCATATCTTTGGCATTCACAAGAACCTGTGAATATGTTGGAGAATATGAAAACTTATGAAGAAAAATATTTAATCTGCACAATTGCATTAGGACGTGCGCTTATATTTTGTCCCAATATGTTACAAACTCAAAATTGGTTAAACAATCATGCAAAGAAGAACCCAAATAAGTTTAACTCAAAATGCTCCATGGGAAGAAATTGAAATCATAGGCTTTGTCCACATGTCATGGCTTACTAGATAGCAATGACATGCAATCCTGTGAGACAATTGTTGTATTAGAAGCTTTACAAAATGATTCACACTTCCACTTTAAAAATGAAAGCAAAACCTGATCTTACTACATGGCAGTTATCAGGAAACATGTACAGCATAAAAGCCACAAACACCTCTTTAAAAAATTTTCATCCACAACTTATATAGATAAGATAAGAATCTGAGGCAATGACTATATTTCCTCCTATGTTGTTCTGCTTTGAATCTAAACCGAAGTTTCTCTTGCACGTAGAATAGAAGGTCTTTTTTCATTTTTGAGCTTTAAGCTATGACTGAAGTACAAATAGTCAATTAAAGTAAGCACCATCTTTTCAAGCACTAAATGTCTTCAAAGTATTGTATTGCTTGAATACTCGTTGATATTCTAGATTTCAATTGGACAGAATTACAGAAACAGAACTACCCTTCGGGTAACTTGGCTATGTGCTCCATCAATGATATAGTCTACAACGCATTAACCAGAGACGGGTCCAACCCCTTCCTAAGAGGATCAACCACAACAACATCTGATCCCACACCTGTACTTTTGTTGCAATTACACAAAAATGTCACATTCAACCAACCCAGTCCAATCTGATAAAAAAAAAAACCAACCCAGACGAGGGTGCACTCTTTGCGGGACTTATATGAAGGAAAGTCATTCTACATACTCAGCTATCAACTATTTCTATATCTTTCACTGGCAGGGGACGTGTTATGTGGACGGGATGTTTCCTTAGGAAACAGTTGAATTTTTTGAAAAAATTTAGTTCCTACTTTTATTGGATCCATCACCCACATCGGTCGCAACTCAAAAAAAAGTGTAACCCAACACAAAATACTATAAAAGCAACATCAAAGGAATATTCAATTCATTAAATTAACATTCAATTTCATCAAATTAATATTTAATTAGATGATTTTGGATGTTAATTTAATCAATTGAGTGTTAATTGGATGATATTTAATATAAATTGGATGAATTGAATGTTAATTTAGTATTAATTTGATGAATTGAATATTTATTTGATGATATTGAATGTTAAGTTAATTTGATGAATTAATTATTTATTAGATAGAATTGAATGTGAATTTGATGAATTGAATATTAATTTTGTGTTAATTTGATGAATTGAAAGTTAATTTAGTGTTAATTTGAAGAATTGAATATTAATTTGGTGTTAATTTGATGAATTGAATATTAATTGGATGAAATTGAATCTTAATTTGATGAATTTAATTTCAAATAGTTAATTTAAATGTTAATTTAATGAATTGAATGTTTATTATACGAAATGGAATATTTAATTTAAATGTTAATTTTATGAATTGAATGTTAATTGAATGAATTTGAATATAAATTGGATGAGATTGAATGTTACGTTGATGAATTAAATGTTTATTAGTTGAGTTTTAATGTTAATTTAATGAATTAAATGTTTATTAGGTAAAATTAAATGTTGATTTGAAGAATTGAATGTTAATTTGGTGTAAATTTGATGAATTGAGTATTAATTGAATGAAATTGCATATTACTTTGATGTTGATTTGATAAATTGAATATTTATTGGATGATTTTGGATGTTAATTTGATAAATTAAATATTTTAGGGATAAAATTAATAAATTAATATTTTAGGAACCATAAATATATATAACTTTAAGGATAAAAGTGTAATTAATTTTTTTTTTATATTAGGACCGGTCTTAGGAAGCGACGATCGGTCGTAGCTGAAGACTTACACTTTCATCCCTAAAATTATACATATTTATTAATCTGATCCTTAAAATATTAATTTTTTAATTTAACCCTTAAAATATTTAATTTTGGGTTCAAATAGTCCCAAATAAACATTTAACATGCAAAATCATCCAATAAAATAATCCAATTAATATTCAACTCATTAAATTTACACTAGATTAACATTCAACTCTTCAAATCAAATTCAACTTCATCTAATAAACATTTAATTTATCAAGTTAACATTCAAATTCAACAAATTATCATTCAATTCATCCAATTTATATTCAAATTCATTCAATTAATCTAACTAATATTCATTTATCAAATTAGCTCCAAATTAATATTTAACTCATCAAATTATTAGGTAGGTTTTATGGTTAGAGGTGGGTAACGTTGGTGTTACAATTTTTGTCTCATCTTCAGATCAAACTCATGGCAACGAAGAAGACTAGAGATTTCCTGAAGAGTTTCAAATGTGAAAAAAGAAAATTTGTGATCATAGTAGATACTGATATTGCTTGTTGTGAGCTGTTTAACAAAGATGACATGCAGTTTCATTCATGAGTGGTGAACCATTCTAATTCTATGCTCGCTACTTTTTATCAGATGTATCATTTTTAATTTTGGAAAGTAAAATCACCAGCAGTTTCATTCACGGAGGGGCAAGAAGACACACTCAAAAAGTACATCAAACTATTCGTAAATTCACCAGCTCATGTAGTTAAATATTACCTTCCAGCACTGCATCATCGATTTTGTGATTATCCAACAACCAACCAAGAGCCTCCCAAGTCCCCTTCTCTCTTTTCATTCAGCAAGCATGTCCTTCAACCTCCTAGGTGTAGCAACCACAATATGAACACCTTTCTTCACAACTTCCAATTGTGACCGCATATCAACACCACCAATACAAAGCAATGGCCTCAATTCTGGGTATCCATGCTCCCTCATGGATATTAAAAACTGCTCCACAACTTTATAGGCCTGCCTTTCAAGCAGTGTAGATGGGCAAATGATCAATCCAAATTGAAAAATTTTAAATAACTTTATGTCTAAGTAGCCATCTAGCCGAATTTTTTAACAAAGACTTAAATGCAGTCAATGATCAAATTTTTGCATCATGTCCTAAACAAAATTAACAAGAAATACAGAAGAAACCAGAAAAATATTATTGCCAGTAGTCTTTGGAATTCCTAACAAACTTGGGATGCTTTAAGACAAAGACCCACAACAATGAACATAGAAATTGAAAAAGAGTGGTAAACAAGATTACCTGCCATGATTTGATCTGTAACCCATTCTCGGTGTTGGAGATAATTGCTCCATTAACACTAACATCGTGCACTTATCCCGTTCCCGCCTTTTTTTGTCATTCCCGCCTTTTCCTTCTTTTGCCGCCCAAATCACTTCTCTTACCTTCCCTTCATCCCTTTACTGTACATATAACTTGTTTGAGGATAAAATTCAATTCAATTTATTAAAATAATATTCAATTTCATCTAATTAATATTTAATTCATCAAATTAATAGTTAATTCATCAAATTAATATTCAATTCATCAAATTAACACTAAATCGACATTCAATTCATCCAATTAACCCTCAATTTATCAAAATTAACATCCAAAATAATTCAATAAAAGTTTAATTTATCAAATCAACACCAAAGTAATATGAAAATTAATCAAAGAAACATTTAATTCATTAATTGAACGCTAAATTAACATTACATTTCATCTAATAAACATTCAATTAATAAAATTAACATTTAAACTCAACTATTAACATTAAATTCATCCATTACATATTCATTCGTCAAATTAACACCAAATTTATGTTCAATTGATGAAATCAATACCAAATATATATTCAATTCATACAATTTATATTAATTTGGTGTTAGTTTGATGAATTGAATGTCAATTTGGTGTTAATTTAATGAATTGAATGCTTATTATACGAAACGAAATGTTAATTTGTTGAATTGAATGTTAATTTGGTATTGATTTGATGAATTAAATATTTATTTGATAAATTTCTATATTAAATTGGAGTTGGTTTGATATATTGAATTTTATTAGATGATTTTGGATGTTGATTTGATGAATTAATTGTTAATTGGATGATTTTGAATATAAATTGGATGAATTGAATGTTAATTTAGTATTAATTTGACGAAATTGAATTTTAAGTTAATTTAATGAATTAATTATTTATTAGATGGATTTGAATGTAAATTTGATGAATTGAATATTAATTTTGTGTTAATTTGATGAATTGAAAATTAATTTAGTGTTAATTTGAAGAATTGAATATTAATTTGGTGTTAATTTGATGAATTGAATATTAATTGGATGAAATTGAATCTTAATTTGATGAATTTAATTTCAAATAGTTAATTTAAATGTTAATTTAATGAATTGAATGTTTATCATTCGAAATGAAATGTTAATTTGTTAAATTGAATGTTAATTTGGTGTTGATTTGATGAATTAAATCTTTATTAGATGATTTTTTATTTTAATTTAATGAAATCAATGTTAATTTAATAAATTAAATATTAATTGGATGAATTGAATTATAATTTGGTGTTAATATGATGAATTGAATGTTTATTTGGTATAAATTTGATGAATTGAATATTAAATGTTATTAGATGAAATTGAATGTTTATTTATTATAAATTTGATGAATTGAGTATTAATTTGTTGAATTGAATATTAATTTGATATTGATTTGGTGAATTAAATCTTTATTAGATTAATTTTTTTTAATTTGATGAATTGAATGTTAATTTAATGAATTAAATATTAATTGTATGAATTGAATTTTAATTTGGTGTTAATATGATGAATTGAATGTTTATTTGGTATAAATTTAATGAATTGAATATTAAATGTTATTTGATGAAATTGAATGTTAATTTGTTGAATTGAATATTAAATTTGTATTGATTTGATGAATTAAATGTTACTTTGATGTTGATTTGTTTAATTGCACCTTTATTGGATGATTTTCGATGCTAATTTGATAAATTGAGTGTTAATTTAATGAATTTGAATATAAATTCGATGAATTGAATGTTAATTTTATGTTTATTTTATGAATTGAATATTAATTGGATGTGATTGAATGTTAAGTTGAGAATTAAATGTTCATTAGATGAAATTGAATGTTGATTTGAAGAATTGAATGTTAATTTGTTATTTATATAATGTTTATCGGATAAAATTGCGTGTTACGTTGGTGTTGATTTATTAAATTAAATCTTTTTTTTAGAGGATTTTTTATGTTAATTTTATGAATTGAATGAATTTGAATATAAATTGGATGAGATTGAATGTTACGTTGATGAATTAAATGTTTATTAGTTGAATTTTAATGTTAATTTATTGAATTAAATGTTTATTAGGTAAAATTAAATATTGATTTAAAGAATTAAATGTTAATTTGGTGTAACTTTGATGAATTGAGTATTAATTGGATAAAATTGCATGTTATTTTGATGTTGATTTCATAAATTGAATATTTATTGAATGATTTTGGATGTTAATTTGATGAATTATAATATCAAAAGGTTAAAAGTGTAATATCAAAATGTTAAAAGTATAATATTAAAGGATAAAAGTGTAATATTAAAGGATTAAAGTGTAATATTACACCAGGATCGATCGCCCATTCCAACGATCGGTTTTAATTTATCTATAATTAAATTACACTTACACCCTTGAAGTATAACAATATTTTTATTTTGTTCCCTATATTTCACCTTCAAGTAATATTTTGTGTTAATTTGGTGTTAATTAGTATATAAATTGGATGAGATTGAATGTTACGTTGATGAACTAAATGTTTATTAGTTGAATTTTATTATTAGTTTAATGAATTAAATGTTTATTAGGTAAAATTAAATGTTGGAACATTTAATTCTTCAAATCAACATTTAATTTTACCTAATAAACATTTAATTTATTAAACTAACATTAAAATTTAACAAATAAATATTTAATTCATCAACATAACATTCAATCTCATCCAATTTATATTCAAATTCATTCAATTAACATTCAATTCCTAAAATTAAACATCGAAAACCCTCTAATAAAGATTCAATTTAACAAATTAACACCAAAGTAACATGCAATTTCATCCAATAAATATTTAATTTTTTAAATAAATAACAAATTAACATTCAATTCTTCAAATCAACATTCAATTTCATCTAATAAACATTTAATTCTTCAACTTAACATTCAATCACATCAAATTAATATTCAATTCATCAAATTAACACAAAATTAACATTTAATTCATCTAATTTATATTCAAATTCATTAAATTAACACTCAATTTATCAAATTGGCATAAAAAATCATCCAATAAAGGTTCAATTTAACAACCCAACATCAAAGTAACATACAATTTCATCCAACAAACTTTTAATTCATCAAATCAATATCAAATTAATATTCAATTCATCAAATTTATACCAAATAAACATTCAATTCATCATATTAACACCAAATTCTAAACCAAACAAATACTTTTGTATGATGAAAGGGAGAAGGGATGTATGGTAAAAGAAATGGAGGGAAGGTAAGAGAAGTGAAAAATGGTTTGGGCGAGAAAAGAGATGGAGGGAAGGCAAGAGAAGTGAAAAATGGTTTGGGCGGGAAAGTGGGTGGAGGGAGAAGATAAGGTTTTTGTGATTTGTACACCACAATATTCACTAAGAAAATTAAAAAATAATATATTGTAATATGTGAGGTGTAAGTGTAATTTACATGTGGAGAATTAGGACCCGTCCATGAAATGGGAGACCGATCCTGAGTAAATATCACATTTTTATCCCTTAACTATTACACTTTTATCCCTTAAATAATCAACAAAATCAGGGTTCCAATTTTTTTTGGTAAGGATTCCAACTTTTTAAAGTAGGAGTTTCAACTTTTTGGGTAGGGGTTTCAACTTTATTAGATGAGGTACAACTCTTTTAGACTAAATACAACTTTATTGGATATGTTACAACTCTTTTGGGCTAGGTACTATTTTTTTAAAACAACCGATTTCACCGGTTTTAAATACATATGTGTGACTCACATATACAGTCCACCTCACTTTTCGGTACCATACCGAAAAGTAGGTTGACTGTATAGTAGTGTTACCCATGTTGATAACACCAAACAATTTACACACATCTTAGATCTCACATACCAATTGATGATATGGAAAATAGAGCCATAAGGGTGTGTTTGAGTAACTTTTTAAAAATGTTGTTAATACTTATAACTTTTCATAAATACTTTAAAAATAAATAGTGTTTGAAAACCGTTTTATCGCCCACCACTACCACTACCACCGCCACTGCTATGGCTACCCTACCACACTCATCGCCCCACTATCACCGTCACTGGCACCCCACCATCACCTCTTCCACAACAACCACCACCACTACCCCACCATCTCCATTATCATAACCTCACCACCACCACCCCATTAGTGCTCCACCACCACCACCATTGCCGCTACCTTATCACCACCGCCACTATCCCACCATCACCGCTACCACTTCACTTCAATTGCCCCTAACCACAATTACCATTGTCACTTATAGCTGTCATTATTACAATCGGTTGTCATTATCTATCACAATTATTACCGTCTCCCACCATTACTACCACCGCTCATCCTCACTATAACCAGTATTTAAATTCTTTTATTTCTCTTTTCTCTTTATAATTTAATTTTATATATGAATACAAATATGTTTATTATTGACTATTTTTTTATTATTATGTGCCTTCGGGCACAAGAAATAACTAGTATATATATATGGGCGGTGAAACTTCACAAGGTTTTGAAAGTTCTCAAGTATTCCCAATGTTTTCACAAAGTTCTATTTTGTTTTTTTGAAAAGCACAAAATTTTATTTCATTCCATCAATATGGACAGTTGACGATGATTTGTATTGAAAGTTGTTGGCGGCCTTTTTCAATGGCCCAATTGAGTTGGCCCGCATATAAGACCACAAGAACAGTTGTGTTTTTAGATTGGGATAATTAGAAGGATATACATCAAATTAGATTTAATTGTAAAAAAATGCATAGAAAAAAATATTAGGTAATTAAGTCTTTAATTTTAATACTTATTTGTATCTAAGTACATTATTTGAATTTTACTGATTTTTTTGTGACATTTTTGTCCTCTATTGATCCATGTGTATTTTCTTTAGAAAGTGATGCATTAAATATCTCCTAGTTTTATAGAAGAATTTTAATATTCCATATTTGTATGTCCTCTCTTGATTCATGCAAATTTTTTTTTGGA